CGCGGGCTCGAGTCAAGTGGCTGCGGTCGCATCCGGGCGCGGCCCGCGTTCACCCTAAGGCCCTAAACCCTAAGCCATTCTAGGCTCCAGATCTCTTGTGGCTTCCTGGAGCCCAGGTGGTCGGAAAGGGGGGTCTCCGCACGCCCCCAGGCAAGTAAGCGGCGACTCTCCTTTGCTGGCCTCCTGCTAAAGCCACTTGTCATGGCCGGCGTCAAATGCCCCGAGTCCTGCCGGGTGCTGAAAGGTCTGTGTCTGTGACTCGGGGTCAGACTCTTGTCTGGCGTCGTGCCAAAAGTTTTTATCACTTAGCCCCTTCCAGACATGGTCAGATGTTTTCCGGGGTATCTGGGACCCCAACGACCCGTGTCTCCTGCACCAAACAAATTGAAGTTGCAGCTTGGGATCTGGACTTTGTCGTCTTCGGAAGAAAGTTGGCCGAGTGATGATGAAGACACGCGTCCGAGCTCCTCTGCGCCTCAACCTCGCGATGGTGGTCGACATGCACCTGCTCAAGCTCATGATAGTCGAGATGTTCCATCTCCATTCCAACTACAGGGACGAGCTCGAAAGGGAGTGTGCAACATGCGGTACAACAGCAACCTGGTGGACCTCAATTTCATGACGTTGACCCACGGCTACCTCAGCAAGACCAGCCTCATCCCCTTCGTGCACCAGCTGTTGATGAACTACCTCGCCAAGATCGTCATCCACCACGTGATCCCGGGCTACCTGCTCCTGCACTACCACATCCTCACGAACTGCTTGGAAGCACTGACACATGTGCTGTACAATGAGAAGTGACCTGCGCCGAGAAAGACAGACGTACCCAGTACGGAGTACTTCCTTCTGCACGTTGCTGGCAAAAAGTTGAGATCTTTGGTCGTGCTATACAAGTAAACTCCTGCTTTCTTTGTTCACCTTACGCAGCCCACGATGCCCAAACGTCTCCCATCCCCTAAATAACTTGAAGTGGTCGAAGTCACAGTCATGTCGTCCTGCGCCCAGGTGGAGTCTCTTGCAAGCACTTTACTGGAACAACTTAGAAGCAACCCAAGCCACAAGCCGCTTGACCTGGAGACCCTGCTTTCCCATGTCCCCGCTAAGTTCTGGTGCGCCCCACCCAAACCTAATGGCTGTATAGTGTTTGCACTGTCCCCCCGCGCCCTCTGCTCCACTACTGCGGCAACCAAACAATTCCCCCACATCGCCAAGCTACTTGCAGAGTATGTACAATTGTGCCTTCCTGAAGTCTACTTTAGCACAATCGGAGTCAGGGTAGGAGGTAAACTGACTGCTCACTGTGATCCAGGGGTCACGGGCTCAGTGGTGTTCTTTCAGGAATGGGGACACGTCCGTGTGGTTTCTGGCTGGCGACTTCAGAGGGATGTTTCTTTGAGGAATTCGAAGGCCGTTTTGTTTGTGGGAAGGTTTTGGATCTTCGTAACGGGGGCGTCGCTTTTGACGCTAGCAAGCCGCATTGTGGTATGCACCTTGGGGTTAGTAGGAGAATCAGTGTCAGTGCTTTTCAGCTCTCGAGGAAACGCCTACCCGAGCCGAACACTCTTGACACCCTGCGGGACCTGGCTACTGTGGTCGCCCACCCGAGCGACACCTGCAACTGTCCCTCCACTCCTTCTTCCCCTCGAGGAGACCCAATCAACACCCGCCGGATCCCTGCCCGCTAGACAAACCCCAAACAAGCATGGTCGCCGCTTACAGGATCGACGCAGAAACCTTGCATTGCGAGCATTTTCCGATAATTGACTTCGCAGGACCAGAGGAGGACGACCTGGAAGAACCTGACCTGGATGCTCGCGATGGCGTGGTGTAGCTCGTGGTGCGTCGTGTGGTGGTGACATGTGTGCGTGCAAAATGTACATAGCAGATCACTTTGATATCAAGCTATACTAGCCATACTTGCTAAACGTGAAGTTTCACATGCACTGTATACTTGCACTGCCCTTTTCCTCGGTCTACTGCGACCTCTTCTGGCACACCTTGCTTTGCTGCTCTGTCCTGCCTTGCCTTGTCTGGTCTTTTGGTTAACCCCCGTATCTATGGTCCCTAGTCCAATCTCTTCGGCACGGAAAACACCGAATGTCTCACTGTCAATCTCGGCGCTGCCATGGCATAAAACATGAGGACTGGAAGTGTGAATCTGTCAAGCTTCCCAATAACTGGCCTGGGGACTGAGACATGGGTGTGCCGGTCTACGGGCAAGGCGGCATTTTACGGCCTCTCCCCCTGTGGAGACATGCCAATGCCCGGGACACTGGATGGACAAGAAGCTTCTGATGTTCATGTGGTCGATTAACAAAACACCAAAACAAAACAAAAAAAGCAGAAGACATGTGGACATGCGGAGACAGATACCTGCGGCCTTTTCCTGTGGGTACATGCCAAGTTGATCTTTGATGTTTACGGCCTCTCCCGTATTGCGGAGACCCAGACTGTTGGTGGTCCCTCCACACATGAGCCACCGAAGTTATGGGTATACAACTTTTTGATTTGGCTATGAAGACTCTGAGTGGAAACAGGGTGGAATGAAAGCCGAAGCTGAGAAGCAAGAGAACTCGTTGCTGGCGTATGGAGAGAGAGGGCGGCTGCACGTTCCTGGAGCGAGACTATGGCCTCTCCCACTTTTCGGAGACATGCCAAAAAGCTTGCGACGAGTACAGCATGACACGAAATGTGTGACAGCCCCAGCTGACAAGCAAGAGCTTGTCACTGGTGCGTAAAAAGGGACGCTCGAGCTCCCCTGGGATTACAGCCTCTCACACTTTTCGGAGAGACAACCCGATAACAGCGCCTTTCTGCGAGTCGAACAAGAACCAGACTGGTTCGCCTGGATGGATCAAACAACAAAGCTGGCCCTCAAAGAGGAGGTTGTAGAAGCTCCACCGACGCTTGAGAGGCACTTGCTACATAGATGTACAGGAGACGCGCTACACCTGTCTCCTTCCCCACCCAGCGGATATGTGACGCGAGCTCAAGTGAGCGTGCTAGACACAGGAATATTGCGGAAGGGTTCGCGTATGTGTTGGTGAGCCTCTAACAAGGGTTTTTCCCGAACCGGGGCGTGTGTTGCAGATCTTGGGATAAACTAGCATGGTAATTTGTCTATGTCGTGCACTCGCCCTTGTATGCAAGCCATCTTGCCGACGGTGCTCATCCCATACTCGTAATTTGTAATTTGCAACTTGAAATTAGTGATGTGGGATTTGTAGCTTTTGTGTAGTGTGCACTGGACAGGAAATGACGGGCCTGTGTTTTGGTGATTAGAGGCTTAGTCCCTGTTTTGTTCTTGTTGCCGACGCAGTCTGTCTCCGGTGTATGAGCACGGTCTCTTGTGTCCAAATAATCCGGCTGAAAAGTTGGAGTTGGAGAGACCGAATGAGGCGCAAGCAAATGGGCCGCGCTTTCAATCTCTTGAAGTTGGGTGAGTTGAGGCTTTGCATGATTGCGTGTTGGTGTGATGGGTTTGATGGGCTGTTTTTTGCTGGTGCTTGTTGGGAAGTCTTCGCTCACGTGGGGCCTCGTCAGTAGTCAAGACCCTGCAGNNCGTGCCAAGTGGGTGACAAAAACTACCACTACTACCACTATTACCACAACAAGAGCAACAACAACAACAAAGCAACAACAACAAAAAATACTGCTACTGCTACTACTACTACTACTACTACTGCTACTACTACTGCTACTACTGAGTGGAAAGGGAAGCGCGACAGCGAACGACAGATTGACAGAGTTGTTACTCCTTGTACGCCCCCTGCCGGAACCAATCATATCCAACCGTTTCCGCTTTGATTTCGACAGAAGAGAAAGTCTTGCATCTCGTCGGGTCACCCACTTCAGCAGGAACAGATCCCGGCTCCTCTTCTTGAAGAGACTGGAACGCATAGGAATGGTACTCCAATGTGTGCAAAGCACGCCTCTCCGCTTCGCTTGAAGTTTCAAATCTCTGGGCTTTGAGCCAAGTACTTGCCTGGTGGAAATATTCGTGAGCAGAAGCCCGAAACAAGTCAACGAATCAGCCAGTATAACATGGTGTTACCGTATAACCAAGCCTCTGCATGATCAGGGCAGAACAAGTTGGAGACGGCTTGGCTGAATTTTTCGAGGACTTCAATGCAAAGGAAGAGACCGAGCAGGTGACTCGCATCCAGTGGCCCAAGTCAAGCAAGGTGTGTTCTGGCAGAGGCTAGGTCCAGCCAAGTCCGGCCATTTTCTCACGGTTTGTCCTTTCGCGCCACTTGCAGTACGGCGCCAAGGACACCAGCAATGGCCAGGAAGGCATGCAAGCAACTTGTCTTCGAAGCTTCAGGCATCCGGTTACCTGCATGTGGGATGGGATATTCAGGCATAGGTGGGATGTCATGATTGTAGCAAGTGGTTTCGAAGCCTTCACTGGTGGAGAAGGAGGATGCCACTCTGGTGGTGCTTAGCACGATAATGGTTTGCGCTTCTGCGCACCGTCTAGACTGTTCGACGCCCAGCAATTGTCCTGACCTGTCCCTCCCAGGACCCGGAGCTGGTGCGGATGATGTTGGATGCAGTTGCCGCAGCCGGGGAAGGCCGTCTGCCGATGCCTGGGAAGCTTGAATGAATCCGCTACGGGCAAGCCTCGAATATAGCGAATGGAATCAGACAGGTGAAGCGGTGAACTGCTTCGAGATCGATCAATTGGACGCTTTTGCGCACCAGGCCGGCTGCTGTGACGTGTCGGTCGGATTTGCCTTCGAATCAAGTGAGCTCGTACAGAGATGCAAGTTGCAGCCATTGCAATAGTCTGGTTGCAGGGGGTCGGAGACGTTTAGACTTTAGACGCTGCCACTGCACAGGTAGAGAGCTCTCTCGAGCACATGCTAAAGAAGCGTCGGAAGACCATGCAGCAGGGGCCACTGAGCTGCAGAGGTAGTAAGGCGTGACTGTCCGCTCTCCCGATCTGGAGGCAGCCTTGAGCCTCTTAAACCGAGGCTACGGGAGCTTGCTGATGCCGTGAGCAAGCTCTTCACGTCCTTGCCTGCAGAATGCAGGCGAGAGCTCGTGCGCGTTTGTCCCTGTGACCGCCAGATTTTTGTGCAGGATTTATGTTACCCTGCACAGGGCGCGTCAGCCCAAGGCTCCAGTGAAGTTTGGCAAATAGCCATGCTAGGAGTCTGGTGACATTGAGTCTCATGGTGCGTGTCGGGCTGATGTCGGCTCGCAATTCCTCGTAAGAGGTGGAGGTCAAGAAGGGGTGGCCACGCACACCCAACTCCTTGCGTCAGTGGTAGTCCGTTGGCTTCAGTCAGTTCGTGGCGCACCATAGTTTAGAACTTGCCGTGCGTTCCCTTACACGGAGAATTGCAAGGGTGTTTCAGTTCCATTCGTAGCTCACTTAAGGTAGAAAGTTCATGCTTTGGTGCTGTGTGCCCTTTTCTGGCAGGGAGCTGCCCGGCGCCCGGGCAATCCTTCAGGGTGCATCGAAGCTGCGCAAGCTCACTCGCATGACCCTCGTGGACTATGGAGCGCAACTCGGACATACTCAGCAGAGCCCCACGGCCACGGTAAGTGCACGGCAGCCTTAACAGGCAGTCGACTGCAATCGCTTTCTGTTTCTATTGCAACAACAACGCTCGGCCGCTACATAAACGCGCGCACGACCCATGTACGGCAACGTGCGTTTTGCGTGGCCTGCGTGGGACGAACGACATGTCACGTTTCGGCAACATGCGTTTTGAAGCGTTTTTGCCGAGGTTTTAGGCATGTTGATTTTCGTGGAAACGACGGAACTTCCGATGTGCGTTTTACGTGGCCTGCATGGGACAAAACCCATGTTTTGATGGAAGTCCCGAACGTGGTCTCTTTGCCCGTTGTTCTTGCGGGAACCACGAGAACCACGTTTTCAAAGAGAAAATATGCATTTTATTTTGGTAAAGTGGCCTGCGCAATTTTTAGAAGCAGGTGTCTCTTGTTTGCGTTCTGTCGTTTCGCTTGGCCGCCGTGGGACAAATGCCATGATTGGCACATGGATGGGATGCTTTATGGGAACGGACGGAGTCTGTGTGGACGTTAACATGGTTGGCACATGGATGCGCTGTGGGATTGGACAGAGTCTGCGTGGACGGTAGCGTGGTTGGCATCCGTGATTTTGGAGGTATCGGGAACACACCGATATATTCGATAGTAAATACCGATGGAATCGGCATGTCGGTTTTGCGCGTTTACTTGGCGTGGGCGTCCGGGCCAACAACAAGACGTTTTATGTAGCTGTGTTATCCACGAGACATAGGCAATATTCAATACCCGAGCTATTACCGAACTACGAGGACTTACAGTCATGTTGAGGGGCTGCTTCGCAGCAACACTCCTGATACGATGACTTCCCTGCATTACAGCTTCAAACCCAGATCAACAGTTGCAACAGTTGCAGTTGCAGGTACATCAAGTACGAAGCTCTTAAGTCGCTGGAGGCCAGCACGAGCTACTGCGACGCTGACCGAGAGGATGAGTTTAAAGTTCTGTCTCAGGATAGACTGAACAAGGCTTTCCGAGTGTTGAGAGTTGAGAGGTTGGCGGCGTGGCCGTGCACGCAGAGCTGAACGCCTTCATAGCAGCATGGAAACTCCGCAGTCGCCTAGTTTCTTGGCAAATCTTGGCCACAAAGAGCACTCAACATAACTCTAGAAGGGCGGACGTCGGAAGCTCACCATGTTTAAATGTGTTTAGCAATCTCAGATGTCGTGAAGCCATGCCTGAGCGAGTGTGTGAGTCGAAATGTGTTTAACCAGTGTTCCTCCGAAGCTATTCTTGCAAGCTGCAGCCGAGGAAGCCGGCCAACCATTGGGTATCCTTTTCAAGCGGCTGTCATCCATCACCGGGCATGACGAGTTCTGACGAAAACTGAACGACAGGGATGCCAGTGAATTGAGCCTGCAAGCCGCGGAACACCCCTTCAAAGTCTCTTGCCAACCATGGAGCTATTCGGCTAGAACGTTGCCTGCAGACCCAAACATGTGCCGATGGCGTCACATGCCTATTGAAAGGAGCGAGTACGGTGACCCCCGCAACGAACATGTTTTGTAGGACCTAGTCTGTCGCGAGGGACATTCTGTAGAGGTTTTCCTTGTGGGCAACGACCGCCGCCCTTCCACTCTGGTAGAGTCTTCATAGTGGAAAACGATCTTGAAGGATTTCAGAAAAACGTCCTGCAAGCCTAGACATCAGAGGGACTCAGGCTAGATGAAGCTGCAGGTACTGACTCCGGAAACATGTTTTTGAATATCGTAGTTACTTCCATTGGCAGTCTGGCTGCCACCCCGCGCAATGTCAGACCACTCGCTGCAAGCCTGGGTTGCCGTGCTCGTTGCCACTTTGGGTTTCGGCTCATTGTACGTGCCTGTCAAGAACTACGAGATCTATGACGGCCTGGTCTATCAGTGGTTTCAGTGCTGTGGCATACTTCTAGCTGGTCTGATCAACGCATGTTGCCGCAACGACTGGGAGGCGGCTCCTTAGCAGAAGACTCTCTCCAGCCTGTCTGCAGTTCGTGCAGTTTGTGTGGCCGAGGCTGGCCGCAGTTCACCGGGCTTCTACGTTTGCAAAGAGGGCCTTCTGTCGGGCCTCTTCTTTCAGACTCTTTCCTCGCAAGCAGAGACTCCACGAGCTAAACGAAAATGGGAAGTGGCAGAGTCGAGAGTCATGCATTTTTTCTGACTGCATGGCTCGTTTGCAAGATGAATTTGCGGGCCAGACAAGCACAAGGAGGGAAGCGAGGTAGGAGTGCAGACAGGGCAGCCATCTCAAACAGGAGCAGACATCGTTCAAGCAAAGAATAGTGCGGTATGTTTCCTGCCTTCTAAGCTGGCTTGACTTGGCTTAGGGTCTGTCTGGTTTAGCCAGACTGCCGAGCTGCTGATTATGTTTGGATGGAATTTGAAAGCTGGTTTTGAGGCCTACGTCGGAACATGCCTGCACGCTGACTGTTGCTGAGGCTCGCAAATGTATTGGCCACGCAGTCAGTCAAGTCTTTCGGCATGACCAACTACTTCACCACACAGATGCTTGGCCATTTGGATTGATATGCCGGTTAACAAGAGAATAACTGAGTCTAGACCTGCAGTTTCAGGGCTCCTTTGTTTGGAGATGGATGTACGTATGACCCAGGTCATCATTCCTAGCATCATCACCAATTAGAGTCACCATGGTCGGTGTGATGCATCTCGTGGTTTTTGGCGCAGAGCCTAGGAGGGAATTCAGAATATCCGCAGACCCTCAGAACGCAGATGCACCCAAGTCAAAAACCCAAAATCAAGCTAGCAAACTCAACAACGCAAGCTGATGCCATCAGTCACTTATCTTCATGGCAAGCCTCTCCCAAGGAAGGTGACCAATTTGGGTGGTGCGCAGCTGGCCTGAGCTTTCGGTTCGTAAGGTCGCAGGGTTCTGGCAATTACGTGTTCGTATCCTGTACAAAAGATCGCCGTTCCGTGGCCTCTCTGTCCTGCGCTAGACTGCAGTGCGGAAGCCACGCCATCTGTCCAGACTCCAGGCTGTTTCTCGGCTTGTGCGGCAGCCAGCTCGGTCTCCCCTCTGCATCTCTGCTACAGTGGGAGTTTGCACGCGACAGACCAATGACAAATCGTATGTGCTTTGGAAGTTGGGTGTTTTTGCAAATCTTCGATTTGCAGAGGTTTCACATGCTGGACACATGACCTGAGATGGACTGGCTCACAGCTTGATCACAGGAGCCACCGCGAAGTCCAGCGAAGGCCATCGCAGGAAGCGCACCTGGGCAGAAGGTTGTGTTTGTTGGCTGGCATTGATGGTTGACGGTGGTTGCAAGATGTTGCAAGAGGTACTGCGAGGCCTCTGTCTTTTGCTCCGCTGTCTATCTGGCGCAATGAAGGGTCTAAGATTCGATAAACTCCGATCCAGGGCGCATTCCTGGAGCCGAGGTGTGCGTGGTGGTAGCAATGATCCCATTGGCATTTACGAAGCTTGAGGACAAAGGCCGCCCATGCTTCCAGTGCGAGTCCGCGTGCTTTGTAACATGTAACTGCCAATCAAGCACCTCGAAGTCAAAATATGCAAGATCTCGACAGGAAGTCAAGACAAGCTGCTGCCTCCCGTGTCACCCGCACCGCCAAAGGCTCGTTGCACAGACTTTGGAGCCAGTGGAAGGTTTTGAGTCCCTGGTGGACACCACGTCGCAAGTGCCTGTTGAGCTACACCGCGCTGGGGTTCAAAACTTTAGTCAGAGTGCTGTGGGATCCATGCAGGACAGGAGGCCACACATGATACCTCCACATCATGCTGACATGGGGGGCTACCTCATGCTGGAGGACGATGCTCAGGCGAGATTCCACATGAGCGGGAGCTTTTGAGTCTTGCTCGTGAGCCGCCGCATGGACAATACCAGGAGGAGGACGCTTCTGGCGACATGGATGTGACTCGCAGGCGCTATGTTATGTCGCCCGCCCCTGCTGGGACGCGCAAGCAGTCTGGACGTGCCTGGGTGCGGTATGTGGTACTCTAGTTGTTGCGGCACTTTTTGCTGTTCTTGTTGGTCGTTGTCGCCTCGCAATGCACAGAAGCGACTGTTGTTTGCTAGCTCCTTCCGCTGTGCAGAGCGACGAGCTCAGAGCCCTGCGCTCAGGTGCAGGATGGTTTATCGGTCTGGCTTGGTCGCTACTGGCGGGGCTTGCTTTTGCAGTGATATATGTACCGATCCTACCCTGGCGGCACAGGATGAAAGCGCAGGGTGCCTTATGTTCGCCCTTTGATTATTTCCTTTCAATCAGCATTGGCCTTTTCATGGCTTCAACTGCCTACATGTTTGTTGGAGGCGCCATGCGAAGGCTGCAGGGCAAGAAAATGATGAAGTCTGTCCTGCGACCTGCATTGCTTAATGGAATGATGTGGTCCGTTGCTAGCATGGCACAGTTGTACGCCCTTGCGGAGATGCCGTATGCAGTGGCATATTGTCTTGTCTGTGGTGGAGAGGTGGCTGTCAGCCTGTTATGGGGCGTCTGTGTCTTCAAAGAGGCATCCACAGCGCACAACCTTAAATGCACACTGTTGGCATTCTCTGGTGTTGTGGTGGGCGTCATCCTCGTGGCCTTATCGAAGTAAAGGTGCTTGCAGAATTGCCACTTCCGGCAGGCGCTTCGAAGGGGAATGAACTGGTTTGACCTCCGCGACCTCCCTGACAATCTGCGCAGCAGTCTGATAAACTGGCAGCGCCCTGGAGTTGTCCTACAAGAGATGGAGTTGGGCAGCTGATCGCAAGCGGCAGACGGATAACACTGATATTCGACGTTTGACAAGTTCCAGGCCAATGCTCCAAAAAAGGATGCGCGAGAGTTGCTAGCTAGCTTTGCTCACCTGAGGAGGGAGCATGTCACAGGGATCACTCATAAGTACTCATAAGTTTTAACCTCACTTTCGCAGTACACCCTAGGTTTCAGGAGCTTAAAACCTCTTTGATCGGCTTTCCCTTGCAGCATCGACAGGGCTGCAGCTAGCCAGTAAGCAGGCGAGGCGACATCCTATGGTTGTGTTGCGCCCATCGAAAACATGAGTCCATATTTTTCCGAAAGCGTCGCAGGCGAGAGGGGGGGTGTCGGAAGGTCATTATAGAACTGTAGGACTGAGTGATCAGCCCTGAGCTCGCGAAACAGTTGCTTCAACGCTTCTGGCTCTAAAGGTCACGGAACATGCCTGAACATGACCACTCTTCAAGCTTCTGAGTTTCACAGCGCGCTGGCAAGTCACAGGCCACAGATGTTTAGACTTCAAGACTCCGAGAAGGCACAGGGTTCCATCGTTTCCACAGCGTAGACAGTTTCCAGACAGATATTGTTTGCGTGTCTCGCATCATGCAGCGTGTGGCGTCGGCTCGCCCGTACTCTGTGTCACGGCAAGATGTACCAGTGCGTTACTTCTCCATCCTCTCCCATGCAGTGAGGCAGACAAGAAAGTGCCCGTTTGGCCGTTGAGATGTTGGCGGAATCACTTGTTCTGTCAGATCTTTCTGTTCTTTCATTCTTTTGTTGATGCCTGAAGGTGGTGAGATGGCAACTCACGACCGAAACTGTTTACACGCCAAGCACATCAGGTGGCATCCGCCCGCGCCAAGAGTCAGTTGAAGCGTGCACTCACGGCCAAAAGCCTTTTGGCCCGCCAGCGGCGAGTGCAGCAGGAGCCCGTGTGCAGTGTGTCCATGGCTGCAGGCGATTGCTTTGAGTAGATTAACTCCAGCCAGCATGTGTTGGAGAGCTTTTGTCATTTGTTGATCTTCCTTGGGAGGTCTTGGAGCTGAAGGTGCCTCAGATGCCAGCCAGGTCAACATGCCAAGCCGTAGGCAATGTTGAACCGTCTTTTGGGTGTGTCCCCCATGCGAAGAACAAGACTAGGTGACTAGGTCTTCTCAGTGAGCGTCCTCTGAAGCGTCTCTATGTTGGTTCCTAAGCCCAGCTCGAGAAGCATTCATAATGTTTCATGCCTTGGTTGCTATCTCCAGGTTCTGCATCCGACCGATGCTGAGACAAACCAGCTGCTCGTCATTGCTGCCAGGCCTGGTCCTTGCTTTGCTGCCTCTTCGCACCAAATTACATTCCTGCGCAGCTGTTGGAGAGGAATGTCAGTAAAAAAGCTTGCGAGAACACGGCTGCCCAAATGGACCCGGGCTGCACAAGTACAGAGATGCTCCAGTCCAGGCAGCTCAAGGAGCGTGTCGCGGTGTCTGAGACTGAGACAGGCAGGAGCAACTACTGCTGGCTGAGGGCTGCAGGTGCCTAGCAGGAACAGTTACAGTCCACAGTAGGGCAGGAAGAAAGAGTGGGAAGCTCTCTCTTCGGATTCCGCAGGTTGCGCTGGCGTTTCCGGAGGCGATGTGGCCGGCGGCTCCGAAGCAGAAGGCAGCCGCCGGAATCCCACAAGTTGATCACCTTAAATGTTCTGGAAGATGACTTCTTCAGGCCGTGCTGGTGGTGGGGGCGCCGACCCGGCTGGCGGTTGCGAAGAAGGCAGTCCACAGTGCAAATGTTGGAAGCGTTTCCTAATGACTGGCCGCCATGTGCCGACTGCTGCACTTCGTTCTGCCATGACCGAACAGCTCTAATCGACATCGACTTGTCGACTCGATTCTGCGGCCGTCCGCCTCCGATGTTCCCGCCTTCCTCATCAGGATTCTGAGAGAGGGGGAGGAGCAGGAAGGAGGGAGAGGAGCGGTTTTGTCACGGCCCGGATTGGGCCAGAAACCCGGCAGTACGATTTGATTGTTATGCCCCAGGAGGTTGATGCCGGTGTTTGCGGCAGGTTGGCTTTGTATGACACTTATCTGACTTATCTGTGCGCAGATGAGCGTGGCCAGTTGAGTAGGCGTCCAATAGCCATGAAGCTGCGTGCTAACAGGTAGCCGTCCGACTGTCAGCTTGTTCCATCGCTGTCCCACTTGTCTGGAGTTGTTCTAGACAATGCTCCTATGTATCCGTCGGTCGAGCAGCCAGCCACCGGTCACGACGCATGTCCTATGCCTGTTGACTTGACGAGGCGGATCCCCGAGCGCGCTGCCACAAGTCGACCCTGCGAGCTGCGGGCGCGCACCCGTGCCTCGTGGAGAATAAAATCGGTTGCATCAACTTCCAAACTTCGTGGAGCACCTGCAAGAATGGCCGAGTGCGTCCACTGCGCAGGGACCCGGATGAATGCATACGCATGAGTAAGTATGTATATATGTATATGAATGATACACCTCTTCTCAGACACAGAATTCCACATAAACCTGGCTTCCGAAACCCCCTGCGGTAACTTACGAACGTGTGACCAGACAGGTAGATGGGCAGAGAGAGACAGCAGCCAGAGACAGACAGAGCTATATACAGAGAAACAAACGGAAGGACGAACGGACAGACGGAGAAGAGAGGTAGCCATTTTGGCTCAAGCCCTGCACATTGCCAGCTGCGCTGGTTCGAAGTGGATGACCATGGTGGTGCCTACGAAGTTTTGTCATGGTCAAGGTCTTAGCAGGGGTGTTCTTTCGGGTCGTGGTATACAGGCACATCGGGGGGAACAAGATCGTCTTCATCCCCGAGAGGGGCCTTGCAGACCCACCGACGCAGACCGAGTGGGGTAGACCTTCGGGTCGGGGGGTCCTCCTCCCCGTACCCCTAGCAAGCCAGCAAGCAAGCAAGAGAGAGGGAGGGAGTCAGTTGCATCCATGGTAGAGTGGGGTCGTTGCATTGACGCCCCAGAAGCCCTTCATTTTCTGACACAAATGAGGGGGCGGGCGCGAGGTGTGAGGCCTGTGACAGTTTTTTTTTGCCTTAAACCCAGTAAGCAAGACAGAGGCAGAGTGCTAACTGACTGCAGTGTTGAAGAAGAGAGACGAAACCCAGTGGTCTATCCTGGTGCAAGCTGTGTGTTACACAGTGGTGGGAGCCGCAGTGGTGTGTGGGCAAGAGTGGCAGCAACAAACAGCAACAGTAGACAGTCGAGAAAATGCTCTTGAAAGGGGGCGACTTGGTTGTCGAAGGGGCTTGGGAGCTTGCCTCAGAGAGCGAGGGGATGAGACCTGCCTTCAGGCAAACGGCTCATTGGGGTTGAACGACCACTTAGGTGATCGGCTGAAGGAAGGACAGGGACAGCGATACAGACAGAGACACGGACACCGACACAGACAGAAAGACAGCTGAGAGGCAGGAAGAGCTTTGGTTGGAGGAAAGTTCAACAGCTGAGTGCTTTTTGGCAGGATTTGACGAAACAGAGGCACAGGCATCCTCTCTGCTTCTTGAGAGAACTTCGCAACTTGCTTCAGTTGTATAGTGCAGGGTTCCGCAACAAACAAGATTCCCGGATGAAGTGAGCCAACAGGCCGGGCTGGCACCTAGGGGCCCAGGACCCATCCCAGGAGTTAGCGCAGACTGGCCTGTGGCCGTGTAGATCGATAGAGAGAGAGAGAGAGCTATAGAAAACTAGATAGATAGACAGATAGATAGAAAGATAGATAGACAGAGTTGTCACGCCGACCAAAGTACGGGACGCTGGACGTTGAGATCCCCTTCGGGGGCCGGGGCGTGCCCTGCCTTAGATCTTGCAGAAGAAAGAGAGAGAGAGAGAGAGACCCCAAAGCCCACTGATTAACGAAACAGGTGGTTGGGCGGGCCGGAGAACTGAGGGTCCCTAGCGGACCCCTAAGCCAGAGAGAGAAAGAGAGAAAAAACAAACATCGGGTGGGCCTGGTGGGCCTGGTGCCCGGGGGCATTCACCTGCCCCTACGCCCGGGAGAGAGAGAGAGAGAGAGAGAGAGAGAGAGGGGGACGAAGTACAGACTTGAGCCCCTGCGGGGGGGGGGGGTTGCGTGCACCCTAGCTCTACAGCAAGCAAGAGAGAGAGAGAGAGAGAGAGAGAGAGCTAAGCAAGCAAGCAAGAGAGCGAGAGAGAGAGATGGCCTTCTGCAAAAGGCACTCTCGACGCTGCCATATGGGGGACAAGGTGGATAAGTACCTCCGTTTGGTAGACAAATACCAGCCAAGGGTGTTTGCTGAAGCACGCATCTACGTGGCACGGTTTCCAGAACAGGCGGGGGACTTGCTCAAGCAGATCAAGAAAGTCCGCAAGCAGATCCACAAAAAGCGGAGGAGAGGAAGACGGCCGAAACTCCAAACCCCCAGCAGCTCGGGGGAAGCTGCCACTCCATGTGCTCCACCAGACGGGGCAGCAAATCGTGAGTATGCACAAAGTGAGGAACCAACACCAGCGCCAAGGACCGAGCATGCGGGAAAGGGGAGCGAGGCAGACGCAGTCAGCGAGAGAAGGGGGACCGTGGACGCTGATACGCCACCTGACTGGGGTGATAGCTCCGGTGGCGATGCTGCACCGTCGTATGAGTGGCCTTGGGGAGAAGCCGGTCGCCCCTCCGACCGGGTTGACAGCCCGGGCCACCTTGCACTTCGACCGAGTGAACCAAGTGATAGGCCGCCACCACAGGCCCACCAACCGGACAGCCACACTACAGAAAGGGGGCATATCCACTTGGTTCCCAACGTACAGTGGCGGGGAGTGCAGCTGATACAAGAGCACATGGCAAAAGCTCGTGCGGAACGTGATGCCTTTCGAAGCTGAAGAGGAAG